ACTTTAGCCAAATATGGTCCATAGTTGGTTAGAACTATAGAGGATAAGTGTTATAGGTTTATGAGGGGATTGCGAGACAATCTTAGGTAACCATTGATTCCATTTAGTATTTCTGACTTCTCTGAGCTTATGGAGAGAGCCCGTATGTGTGCTACTTAAGGGAGTGTTGTGACATGCAAGATCGAGCGCGGTGGCGTTGGGTCCTAATTTTAAAATAAAAATCATTTTTTACTAAATTCGCTCATTTCATCTGATTGAGGCAGCCCGTTAGAGATAGAAAGAGAGAATGATTTATAAAGAAAGAAAGCTAGTTTTTGACGACTTCGATGTGTTTTTAGTTGACGACCCTATTTAGAAAGTTGTGCGGTTCGAGGTAGGTTGCAATTTGCCAATCTCAATTTTAAAAGATATAAGATTTTTTTATTTAATTTATATCTCCATAATCTAAAAATGATGATAATTCCTATAAAGTTTTCACTGTATAACTTTTTGTATGTTATAAAGATAAATATTTTGGATATTTAGATATTTTTCTATAAATGTTACACGGGGGTTTTTGAAAAATGCACTTTTTTAATTGTCTTAAAAATAATTGTGACAAAAGAAAATAATATTGTAGTATTATTAAAGCTTTAAAATAATATTATGAACAATCTATAGTAATTTGATTATATTTTGAAATAGTGGATTTCTGCATAGTAGCATATTCTGCTACCTTTCGTTATAGTGTTTTCTTTTACAACATGCAATGAATTATATGTTTATCTGATTGGAGTGTGTGATTATGAGGAGATTTGATGTGTGTGTGCATAGGAAGTTCTATTATCGTGTTAAATACATATTCTAGTGCCAAAGAAACATTATGGTGCTACATGTACACTCTATTATAGTGATATATGCACACTTTATTATACTACTATATACACACTCTATCATAGTGTTATATGCACATTCTATTTTTATGTTGGCTATTAAGAGTCATAAGGATCAGAATTCTCTAACTCTATTCTAATGAGAGGTATAAGGGTCTGAGGAAAATATGTTACTTTCTATTTTGAAATATGGAGTACTTATTTATCTACTTTCCCATCACTTTTATTTACATTTTTTATAACTATAATTTATATTTTTGCTTAGTCTAGTGTTTTATTATATTTCTTTAAAATTTGGTTAAACTCTCTATAAATAGTATTTGAAATTCAGATCGGTAAGTGCGATTTATTGAGCTGTGTTAGTCATAGTTATCTACATTTCTATTTCAGTGTCTAGGAGAGGGAAAGAGTCAGTTATATAGCTTAGTTATGACCTAATCTCTCTAAGTATGTATAGATTTTTTTTCTAATCTTTTGTACAATCATGGATAGTTATTTATATTGTTATGTTTCATGTTTCAATATTTCGCAATGCACTATAGTTTAAATGTTATGTATACATTTTGGTGAGAAATGAAAAGAAATTTAATGGTTGAGTTATTTTTTGTATATTATAGTAATTAGTAGTTATATAGTCTACTATTTATTTTAAGTTTGATTGAAAGAAGAAAATATGAAAAGTTTTTTAAAACTTTGATCTTGGGTTGGCTTGTCACAAATCAACATGAAAGGATCTATTTCGTGTTAGTGGGTCTTACGGGTTGAGCAATGATAGTAACCATGAAATCATTTAATCCATATTAGTATGAACATGTAGTAGTAAGAAAAAATGGGAATCAATAGTTGCAATATCATTTCATATAAGCAATGAAAATCAATATAAATAATGCAATTCATAATCAATGATCAATAATCATATAAGTGATTTGTAAGTTCTATCATTCATGTACCCATTAGTTACAAGACAGTCTATATATTATCTTATATAAATAAGCACACCTCTTACTAATAAATATTTACAATTATACATCTATCATATTCATGTTATGTAGTGTATGTGCATGTATATTATATTATAAATCTAATGTAATATATCATATGTAGTGTATCATGCATATTATGTAATTCATGTATATCACATACAATTGTATCAATTTTATCAGTCTTATCAATTAGTCATATCATATGTATGTACTAATCATATCCTGTATTAACTGTATATCATATAATATCGTGTTACTTATGCAATTTGTCATGTATGTTGATGTCATATACATAAATAAATAATATAAGCAAGATAAGGCATTCAACTACCTATGATGTTTTTCATGTATCCAATCTTATAGGCCAACTCTATATGAATCAATCTCAATCACATTAGTCATATTTTTAAGACTTAGTCTTATATCATAAATCATAAATCAGGTAGATGACTTTCATGTAAGAAATCATCATTTTTTATTCGTTGATATATTATATCATATCAGTTAATCTCATTATACATCCCTTTTAATATCACATTGGATTACACCATCATAAATCTTATTATGAAAAAAAAAAAAAAACCATCGACCCACTATCCTATACAGGGTAACATATCTTCAGCCTATCTAAATCAGTCGAGCATTTCCAGCTAGCCTTCCTTACTTTTACACACATTTCACATAATATAAAGTATTATATCAAACATTATATATACTCAATCTAACTATCATTTTACTAATCAATATATCTATATTATGCCAAAAATGCATGTTGAACTAAATGAATAATACATGTATGCATATCATATATTTCATGTCCAAATGCAGTATACTAACTCCTAATTATTTTATACTCATTAATATACTATTCATTTTAATTAAAATGACATCTATACAAAACCAATTAGTGAAATTTTAATATTAACCAATCAAAATATTCAAGGGATGATACCTATTGCATATCAAAAGTTATATAGTAGAAAATCACTAGAATGAGAGATATTGCATTTTAATCAATTTTAGGAGAGATAAAATCCTAAAAATTAAAATCATTGAAAATTGAAATAGGATTTGAATTACCTACCACAATCAGAACACTTTTCACAATTAGAGTGACGAACAAAAATGATCTCGACATGACTTTCTCCTTCCTCTCTCCTCTTTTGCTCTCTTCTTCTCTCCCGATCGAGCAAAGAAGAAATGGGGAGGGGATGGTTGGGGAAATATTTTTAATGAAATGGAATGGGATTATATATATAAATAATTTTTTTGACTTAGTGTCACGGGGCCTAAGACCCAACGTGACTACACGCATTTATTTCCCTAAAAACCTGAGAGCTCAAAACCGTGGTGCTGCCCAACCCGACGTTGTAGCGCTCCCACATACCTTTTCTTTTGGATTTTTTTTTGGGAAATAAAATTGGGTTTATTACACTTATAGTACCAACATTACCCTGCCTCAAGGTCTAGAAGATATGCCTTAACTTTGTTATGCATAGGTGGATGACATAGAGATGATAAAGAGAGAGAAAGCTCCCAAGATCATCATGATTATGACCACCATAGGTTGCCGAGGAATCATGTACACTGTGAGAGTACAAGGAAAGAGCTTAGTAAGTAGAAAGTGTAACTTGTTTTGAGCTTAATGTAATAAATCTTTGAATGTTTATAAAAGGAATAGCTTATAAGATCGAGTGTGATTTGTCTTTTCTTTCATTCCTTTTATGTTCATTTAAAACTTAATAATCAGAGAAAGAAATAAGAAAGGTGAGCAAGTCTCAAGTATGGTCGAGCTTATGTTGAGTAGGCATGGCATTATTTATGTCCATAATCAGATAATTCCTTGTTAGTGATTCCGATGATATTTTTGAGAAAGAAATAAGATTAGCCCAATGGCTTATTGATTATTTGATATTATTAATAGACCTAAAAAGGTATTGGTGTGACGAATACTTATTAAAAATTTTAAATAATAAAATGGAATAATATTATTTAGCTTAATCTTGTTCTTAGCTCATTTTGCCTAGATCTAATGGAATTTGAGGTAGATTAAGGTATGCCATGTTGCAATGATGGGGAAAACACTAAGCATTCTAATCTTCTTGTGATTTTTTATAGGCATTTAAACTACAAAAGCCATCATACTTGGATCTTAGTGCTTACATGGCAATAGTTTCCAAAGTGCATGCCTTCTCTGTCCCTTTTTTCTAATTAAGATAAGTGATGAGAATTTCGATGATGACTAGGCCTCCTGATGCAAATCTAGCGACTATAAAAAATTTAGACAAAAGATTACAGCAATGTGACATTATGACTAGGCCTTCTGATGGAAGAGGAGAGACCCAATGTCACTTCCTCTGTCATGTCATGGAGGCCTACCTCTTTGACTAATACAAGATGGAGATGGATCTCCCATTCATTAAGATCACTAATTTTCTGCTTTGTACCTACTTAGTTTATCCCTTATGTTTTCCCCATAATGTAGGATATGAACTAGTTATTAACAAATATGGATGTCCTGGTCCATCCAAATAGTTTTTATATTTCTTCGCTATGACAAAGTTTAATCTCTATTGCTATAAATTTTATAAAATGCAATAGCATTAATTACACCTATCTACTCTATAGATAGTCAATATTATAAATAACTTCCATATATCTTGTGAAATTGCACTTACATCCCATATTTAAATTTCTTAATTAATTTGTTTTTTAATTATAAGGTACACAAGTGTAATTTTTAAAATTGAATTAAAGTTAATATGTAACATAACATTTAATAATTGAAAATACAAGCTTAAATATATAAACCCAAAATAGATATATGTAATATTGATCATATATAAAAGTAATTAGTGAAATAAATCATATTTTTTAATAAATTTTGTTGATTGTATTGTATTCATAAAATGCTCTTTTTTTTAAAGAGAAAAAAAATTTCTTTGTAACATTTAAATGTTATCTATTTAAAAATTAATGCTTGATTAATTTTATTTATATAATATCATTTAAATATAAAAAAGATAATAAAATTATGACTTATATTTTTTATTTTTAGCAAATAATTATAATTTAATGTTCATCTAACAAGTGCTGGTCCATTTTTTTAAATATAAATGATTCTGCCTAATGCTGTTTTTGCTGTTCGACCCGCAGCTAATCTTCCTCGCTCTCAGTCTTGAGTTCATCCGTGTCTATGTTGGCTTGCCTCTATCCCTTCGAATGATCCTTTATTGACTACAATCTTCTTCTCCTCCCGAGTCCAATCACTCAGTCATTGTCGGGCTATGCTGATTCCTACGGCGGAGCTGAGTGATGATGGGGGGTTAGGGTTTCCTCCACCGTTAAACTCTAGGGTTTTTCAGTCTGCCGAACAATTGTCGCCATGTCCGGTGCCGGGCGCTGCCTCGCTGGACGGCCACTGAACCCACGGCTTCTTCCCCCTTTGTTTAGGCTGTCAAGTAAAGCTTGCAGCTTCCCAGTGAAAGCTCGGATCTTTCCCCTCCTTCATGCCATCTCACTCTGTGAAGACTCGAAGGAGGTCTCTTTACTTTATCCATTCTCTCTGAATATTGATTTAATATGCATGCTTTCATTGTTTTTTGTTTTGTTTGTTGTTGTTTTCTATGTAGAAATGGAGGCTGGGTCTTGTCTCCTGTTTCAAAAACGATGAAGAGAAGAACTCTTTGAGTGAAAATGGATTTGAATTTTTTGAGATTAGGCCAGATGGGGAATTGGATAAGCCGAAGTTGGATCCTTTGGGCAATCAGGATAAACATTGGATTTTTGTCATTCAAAAGGTAAAGCTTGATCCTCTTGTTCTGTTTTCTAGAGTCCCAAATTGGCAACATCTCATCTTATTTTTAGATCTTGATACTTCAGAAGTGTGAAGCTTTTGCAAATTTTTCTTGGTCGGTTTTCTTGATACTCTTCTACTGGAAAACGGGTTTGTGAGGTTTTGCAAGGCGTTGTCAATGTGGAATCTGGTAAAATTTATCATATTCATATGTTTTAATTTTTAGGTGCAATTTGGGCCATTAGTTTTTTAACCCAACACAAACTATAAACATTGGTGATGCAAGGAGACATCTTATATTTATCAGTAGCTTGTAGCACAAATATTTTGTCATATGTCAAACAAAATTAACATATTTAAATTATAGATTCAGAGTTAATCATGGAGGATATTATGTAAGCTTAAAGATAAATTTTATAAAACAACAATTAGCCTAGCGATATTCTATGGATTCCAATATTGGGCTATTAAAAAGTCATTGAAATCTATGTTGAGTTTAACAAAAATGAGAATGCTAAGATGGATGCATGAAAAACATTAAAAATGATAAACTAACAAATAATTTTATTAGAAAAAAATATTAGTGTCATATTTTGAAGATAAGATGATTGAAGATAGATTTAGGTGATATGAACATGTACAATGAAAGATAGAAAATATGTCTGTCAAACGAGCAAATATAATTTTTGTTTGGTTTGCTTTGGGAACTTTTATTCGGTCCAGTGAACGTACGCTCCTCTACGTTCGGCCACCAATGTCTTAGCGCCACGTAGCATGAAGAAAAGACGCCGACCCAACCCGCTGTTTTTTGGGTTCTCGCACGTGCGTTTTTTTAAATCCTTGATGAGCCGAACAACATCCCATCACCTTTTGGATATATTTCAAATACCTATCAATACCGAGCAAATACCGAGTTGTACCTAGTTTTTTCTAGCAATACCGAGCAAATACCTAGCAATACCGAGCAAATCCCTAGCAATACCGAGCAAATCCTGAGCAAATACTGAGTTGTACCGAATTTTTTCTAGCAATACCGAGCAAATACCTAGCAATACCGGGCAAATCTCTAGCAATACCGAGCAAATCCTGAGCAAATACCAAGTTGTACCGAGTTGTTGTACTGAGTTGTAGAAAAACTCGGTACAACTCGGTATTTGCATGGTATTGGTCTTCACATAGCGGTATTTCTCATTTTTGCAAAGCAATACCTAGCAAATACCGAGCAAATACCGAGCAATACCGAGAAAATCACGAACATAGCATTCCCGGGTTCCGCTACGGGTCAAGTCGTCGGGCTGCGCGGTAAAGAGTAAGAGCACGCGGCGACATGTTATTGGCGGCCGAACGTAGCTCTACGTCAGGTCAGAGGACGTAATAATTGTTCTTGCTTTGGGCCGTGGTTACCATTTTGGCGATGGCTGGTTTCCCTTGGTATTTGTTTCCATGATTATGTTGTATTTCTAGGTTATTTTATTGCTGTTTTGGTGGTGGTTGGCATCTCTTGGTAAACTGAATATGATACTCTAGGGATTCTTACAGAAGATTTGTGGTTATTGGTATCCTTTGGCATTTAGTTTTATGATTATATTGTTCTATTGATTCTTATGGTGGACTGTGGGTGGGAAATTAGTGCCCGACCTATTTTGCTTGTTGTTATCAACTGCTGTTTGTTTGATTTATCTTGGGTGGGTATGGCGAGATTTTTAGCAACTAACAGGATTTTCTAGCAATACCGAGCAAATACCTAGCAATACCGAGCAAATCTCTAGCAATACCGAGCAAATCCTGAGCAAATACCAAGTTGTACTGAGTTGTTGAAAAACTCGGTACAACTTGGTATTTGCATGGTATTAGTCTTCACATAGCGGTATTTCTCATTTTTGCAAAGCAATACCTATCAAATACCGAGCAAATACCGAGCAATACCGAGAAAACCGCGAACATAGCATTCCCGGGTTCCGCTACGGGTCAAGTCGTCGGGCCGCGCGGTAAAGAGTAAGAGCATGTGGCGACATGTTATTGGCGGCCGAACGTAGCTCTACGTCAGGTCAGAGGACGTAATAATTTTTCTTGCTTTGGGCCGTGGTTACCATTTTGGCGATGGCTGGTTTCCCTTGGTATTTGTTTCCATGATTATGTTGTATTTCTAGGTTATTTTATTGCTGTTTTGGTGGTGGTTGGCATCTCTTGGTAAACTGAATATGATACTCTAGGGATTCTTACAGAAGATTTGTGGTTATTGGTATCCTTTGGCATTTAGTTTTATGATTATATTGTTCTATTGATTCTTATGGTGGACTGTGGGTGGGAAATTAGCGCCTGGCCTATCCTGCTTGTTGTTATCAACTGCTGATTGTTTGATTTATCTTGGGTGGGTATGGCGAGATTTTAGCAACTAACAGGATTTTGATTTGGTTCTTAATTTTTTTGATTTTTTTATTATAAATTTATCAGAAATTTATGAATTTCAAGATTTGTAAAATTGAAATTAATTGACAAGCTAACATGTATTGAATGAGTGTGGAAAAAGAGAGAGGATTGTTTGAAAACTTAGAATCTCTTTGGTTGAAATGAAAGAATTATTAAAAAAATATATTCTATTATCATACCATGATCAATTACTTGATGAATCTAATTCATTAAAACGAGGAAAAAATGTTAGTTAATATATGAACAAATTTTAGGAATCGCAATGCACTTCGAAGTAATTGTAATCCAAAAATAACTCCTACATTTTAGATCTGTTTTAAGTTTTGATTTTGACAGAGAAATGATGCCTTAAATTCCATCCCTTGAACAAGCTTTTCAACTTGCTTTAGATTTTGAACAAATGTTGAATTTTTTACTATTAAGAAAATTTTTATATATAATGGAAACATATCTTATTTAAAAAAAAAGGCTTAATAGACTGCACCTACTACATCTCAAAGAAATAACACTAATGTTAATAAGAATAATAAAGAAAAACCGATTGCTATTGTATGTGGTTCCAATTTTTTTGCAAAGCTTGTTTTAAATATCATATGACTAGTTACCTTGCAAATAAATTTCTTGTTAGGAATTTACATATTATTGTGGATGAAGATGATATTGAAATTAATGAGAGCGATAATGGATTTGATTAAAAAATAAGCAATTTTGAAGATACCTTAATGGAACACTCTTTAATTTTTATGCAATGCATTATTGTCACATCTAAAGATGAATTTGAATGGAGAAGCACATCTATAATTCAAATTTATTTTAATCATGATGATACAATCTTTAAGATTATTATTATAACTACTTAAAAGTTATATGAATGTTATGGATTTATGTAACACAAAGATGCTTAGTTCAATTCAACCTACTGCCCATACTGATAAAATTTGGTAGATATTTCTTGCATGGATGTTATATATATTATTTTTTGTTGATCTTTTATATATGATTTATGTGCAACTAATTTTGAAAAATCTAATACTTATGTGTACAAAAGCAATGGAAAGAGAATAGTCTTAAAGCTTACTAAACTTAAAATGCATTTGCTTTATCTGCAAACGAATCTAGCACTTCTAATGAATTGAAGAAATCATCTCATAACGTATCATGGTCTAGAAAAGGAGAGTCTAAAGAAGGATTAATTTTTTCTTAGCGACTATTGAATGAGTGTGTTAATTCATATTTTTAAGAATAAAATTGATGCGCAAGATTGTCCAACTTATAGAAGAATTAACTTAATATGTCATACTTTAAAACTATGGGAGAGAGTTATGGAACATAGGTTGCGGTGTGATACTAATGTTTCTCAAAATCAATTTGGATTCATGTCGGGTAGGTCTACTATGGAAGCTATACATTTATTGAGAGGTTTGATGGAGAGATATAGAGATAATAAGGAGGATCCATATATGATATTTATTGATTCAGAGAAAGCATATGATAAAGTTCTAAAAGAAGTGCTATATATGGAGAGTTCTAGAAAAGAAAGGGATTAATAATGCTTATATTCAAGTTATTAAGGATATGTTTGTGTTCAAACACAAGATGGTTTGACCAAGTATCTTTCTATTTTAGTTGTATTACATCAAGGATTAGCTTTAAGCCCATCTCTTTTCGTTTTAGTCATGGATGTTCTCACTAGACATTTGCAAGAGGTTGTACCCTGTTGTATGCTTTTTGCTGATGATATTCTTATTGTTGATAAGATTAGAGTGGGAGTTGAAGGTAAACTTGAGCTATGGAGGTCAACCTTAGAGTCTAAAGGCTTTCATTTGAGTAGATCTAAAATTGAGTATATGGAGTTTAATTTTAGTAATAAGAGATCTAGGGGGGATTGTGATTTTGGGTGATCAAGTCATTAATAAGAGTACACGTGTTTGATATTTTGGGTCTATTGTTCAGAGTGATGGTGAAATAGATGAGGATATTATTAGTAGAATTCAAGTTGGATGGTTGAAGTGGAGGAATGCATTGGGCTTGTTGTGTGATAGAAAAGCCCCGCTCAAACTTAAGGGAAAATTCTATAAGATGGTGGTTTGACCTGTAATGCTTTTTGGTGCAGAATGTTGGCCATTAAAAGAGAAGCATAATATTAAGTTAAGTGTTGTAGAGATGAGGATGCTAGGTGGATGAGTGTTTTTACTCTTAGAGACAGGATACGAAATGAGCATATACTTGAAAAGGTTGGAGTAGCTCCAATTGGAAGATAAGATTAGAGAGAGTCGCCTTTAGATGGTTTGGTCACATAAAACAACGGTCTTTTGATGACCCAGTTAGGAAAGTAGGTGTATTAGATTTGACTTATATTAAGAAAGGTAGAGGTAGACCTAAAAAGACTTGGCTAAAAAATATTAGAAATGACTTTTTGTTAGATTTTGATGAGAATTTAGCTCTTAATAGTACACAATGGAGAAAAATGATTCATGTAGCCGAACCCACATAGTGGGATAATGGCTTGATGATGTTGTTGTTGTTGTTGGGCTATTCTAAAGATGTAGACAACAATTAAGCATTTAATAAGAT